AAACAGGACGTGTTTTTAGCCCCAATGGCAGCAACAAACCAGCTAATCTAAGGCCATTCATGTTGTATCTCCTTTGCCAAATTGCAACATGTATTTTTTCTGCAGTTTCATAAGTGACATTTATCCAAACAGCAGTGGGGGTGCATGTATGGACTTAGACTAACTTTATTGTCATTATTAAAGTTGGTCTAAGTTCATATTATGTGCACTGTTGACTCTACTGCAGTTGCTTGCTGTATAATCATTCCTACCCTGAAAAAATACAAAAAACTGTCCAAGTGTGTAAAAAAAACAAAAAAAACATTTAAACAACCATCAAACATATGTAACCTTATCACTGTTACTGTATTTGAACATCTTAAGTGGCTGGTCAGTCTTACCTATTCAGCTGTTAAAAAGAGGGCTCACTGGTGCGCTCAGTGCCCTGAGGTGTAAACCTGAGATGGAAAAATTGCCCCTCAAGTCTCTAAATGCGGAGGAGACAAACTTTTAGGTTACCCTCTGTAAGAAGAAGTTATGAAAGAATCTAATCAAGCTTTATTGTCAATCTGCTCTGCACACAATCTTAGTGCAGCAGAATTAAACAGCATTTCTTGAGGATCACCTAAGAAATTTAAAAAAATAATTCAATAAAATAAAACTAAAAAATGTTTAACTCCCCCTTTCAAATAAAAACATACATTCCATTTATATCACTACAATAAATAATCCCAAACCAGTTTGTGTGTTGATAGATGGTATAAACTAGAACTAAAATCAATGCCATACATCTGGGTGTAAAGCTGTAGCTGAGCCTGGAGGTTCTGCCTTTTCTACTGCGCCCCGTTTAAAGGATGTTGGCATTAAAAGAATGGGTCCATAATTATGTTTAAAATGCACGAACTGATCTAATACAAAGAAAAAAATCTTACGAGTATTTGGCCTCAACTTGAGTAGGTAAATAAGTATTTTTGACCTTAAAGATTATATGAACTTGAAATAGGATGGATTTTTTTTTTTTTTTTGTTATTTAACCCTTCAAAGCCAAGTTTATCATCATGATACATGAGCTTTTGAGACCTCTGCATTATCAGTGGGATAATTTAGTTCTTGAAAAGCCCGACCTACATAATCAGACATGAAGTGAACAGAAAACATATTAAAAGGTTAGAGAGAAATGCCTTATATATTACAATTGATGCAAATAAATTATCTAATTTCCCATTGGGAACCTACTAGCACTAAGTTGCTAACTGGTTAGCAAGATGCTTCCGAGACACGGCAACAATCAAACTTGCTTATAAACCTTCCGCCACACCAATCCCACCCCCTTTATAATCGACCACTCGGGAGAACTCGGAAATGCAACAGTTGGAACAGCCATTTCCCTACAACTTTAAAGGGTTCCATTGATAAAGTCTTACTTAGCTGATCAAATAAAGCGAAAATACATTTTTTGTTTTTCAAAAAAAGTTGGCTTAGTTATATTTCTGTTTTTACAACGTGTCTTCTCTTTGGCCTTTTAGGAACAGGTTGTCCTCACTGCACCAACCCTCACCGAGTTCAACTCCTTTCATTTTCCCTGAGTCATTGTTTCTATTTATCAGTCTGACTGCTGCAGTGTCATCATGGACCCATGTGATAAGGTTCCCCTCTTATCTGGATAAACAGCCACGTGTTAACAGAGGAAAGAACAGGGGGCTAAGAACAAAACCTTGAGGAGACCAGCCCCTGAGTACAATGAGATATGACCCGCTATTTCTTTACTAAAGTGGACGAGAAAGAGTGGAAACATTTTAGTCTAGGAACGTTCACACCTAGAGAGGCGACTTTCTTTTTTCCTGAGCTGCATTCAGAACTATTGAATTTTAGAAAAAATAATTACATATTTTTTATTCTGTAAAGGACATTGATAAAAAGGGATCCTATTTTTCTCCCCACAATAAAATCCTATTTGTTCTGATATAATTTGGAAAATGTATGAGTTAAAACTTTGATGACTGAAAAAAAAAAAGATAAAAATACATTTGAAGCTAAAGGACGCTCAACTCTGCTATTCTTAAGGTGAACTTTGAAAGAAAACAACAAACCAACTGAATGAAGACGACAACAACTGGATAAACAAAGAATAAAATCCGGATTTCAGTAAATCATGTCTCATGACTCGGTATAACATTGTGTTCAAATCACATTGAAGCAAGAGCAACAAATAATTTTGGTTTCGGTTCTTTTTGGTCCGTTCGTTTAAGGAAGCTTAAAAAAAAGCAAAGTCGGGGAAAAAATAAACTGTAGCCACAGAGAGACTGTTTCTACATTTCTGCCTAAAAAAAAAAAAACATCTTGTTATGTCGGCCAAAACCTTTCCATCAGCATACAGTGCAGAAATCACATTTGCTAAACCTGATACTTTTCTTCATCGTTCATAGAATGCAATGAGAAGAGTTTTATACATAAAAATAAACAAAATCCTTTATCTTTTATTTCTAGCTTATATAATCAAAGCTAAAAAAAAATATGATACAGCGATATTCTCCCAGACAAATGAGCTTTTAGCTCATAATGCTATATCGTGGAAAAACACTAAAGCTGCAGCAAAACTAAAAATCAGGCACTTAGGACCGTCATTAGGAGCCATCAGCAAACAGGCCTCTGTACAGCCAGCAGCTCCCTGTCTCACTTATCAACAGCCTGATAGCTCAAACAACAGCATCAAACTGCCACCTTTATCTGCATTGAACATTTTCAATAAAAAAAAAATACAACAAACAAAGAGCTTGTAAAGCTTCATGTTGCATTTACAAACTTAAAATCTTTTCTTAACTGAGAAGTGACACAACTATCAGTTCTTGACATGGCTCTATATTTGTCTTCAGCCCCCTTTTCTCCAAAAACTGTTCTTAAAAGTCACCCAACTAGTAAATCTCAGTATGAATTAAGCTGTTCTTTGAAAGCCTTTGAGATTTGTTAAACTTTTATAGGGCACTCAGTGAAATACTTTGACAATTAAAATTCCAAGCCAACAGTGTTATTGGAATCCAGGACAATACTTTTTTTTTACCTTTGTAACATTAAAAATTTGGATATTTGGATGGCAAAAATGAAAGTCAATGTAATAACAAGAAATTCCAACTTGCCTGAATATATTAAGAAAAAAAGTTATTCTATAATAAATTCATGAAAAACACCCTGAGAGTGAAAGAAACATTTTTTGGAACAGCAATACCTTAAAGGCATTAATGCTGATACTGGCACTTACATTTTTTAGTTTATGAACCTAAATATAATTAACTAGGCTTATTAAATTTGTAACTTTACTTTTTAACTTTTCAATTAGCTTTTTACCTTTTTTTCTTGTTAACTTTTTTCAACTTAATTTACAGTAGGTAATATATCATTTAGGGCTCATTTAATTGGTCAAATGTAAAAATAAGATATGCAGCCATGCAGCAGTATCTTTGCTGAATGGCTTGATATAGATCTTGTGCTTCTAGACCTCACTGAGGGACTCCATCTGTAAGGGGTATGCACGTGATCAACGGTGGTAACTTGCCCTATAAAGGGTTAACAAAAGCCATAAAAACACACAAGTCAGGTCAATCTATAAATCAAACCTGGAAGGATGGGGCTATAAAAAGCCATAAAAGCTTCGATTTATGGTTTGATACAAGCCATGATAGAGTAGAAAGGTTGTTCTGCACAGATAAGACTAAAAGTGAACAACATGAAAAGTGCAATGAGTGGCAGAAAATTAACTGCAGATGAACCTGAGATCAAGATCCCCACATAAACCCAGAGCGGTGGCAGCATCATCCTGTGGGGATATTTCAGGTTTCACTAAAATGTGAATGACTCCAAATATAGGACATTCCTGAAAATATGTGCACAGCACACTGTTTGGATTTTGATCTGTAAAATACTTTGAAGTCTTTATAAAAGGGACACAGTCATCCAAAAAAAGGCTAAACAAAAAGGTGGAGGTCTACAAAAAGGCAGTGAAACAGCTGCTGTTTTAACGGTCAGTCAGCACCATGGACAGTGGCCCCAGTGGCCGAAGCTTGACCTCCGGGGGCCCCTGGTCCATCATCAAGCAGAGAGAAAACACTGGAAAACTCACAGCCAGCACTCATTTTCTGATACCAACTGTTAACAGGAATCAGCCTATGCAGCTAAATCTATCCCATTCACATAATCACTATGGATTGTCGTTTTTAAGGAAACAAACACTGATGTAGAGCATGTGAACGGAAGTGTAGCTAAGGCCTGACCACAGCAGTAACAAAGAAGTATTTGTAAGGAAGTTGATCAACATTATTTACTGCCTAGTTGTGTAACCTCTGTATCTTTCCTAAACTTATTTAAAAATATCTTTAATAAGATTCAACATGCCTGATCAATGCTGCTTTTTATGACCTTAGATTGCATGATTAGCACTCTGTTATTGTCTTAGAAGCAGACAGACAACATTTAAAGCAGCAGTGTTGCCCCTGTGTGTGGCTGCAGTGTTTGGTCTCTTTAAATGCTAAATATAACTGAGTCTAAAGCTGATACCCAAACGTCCTGGCTAATGTGGCGTTCACGGGCTGCCCTGGGCTCCGTCAGGAGTCTGCATACAAATGTAGGCCATCTTAAAGTGATAAATATATGCTTCCCGTTTGCTGAAAGTTTATATGGTAGCTGTAGCAAAACGTACGTGTATTTTAATGGACAGAATGAGGATGATAATCCAGCTAAAAGAGTCCCTACAAGGGCGGAAGTTTACTGCACTTCTGTTGCAAAAAAAGTGGTAAAATCGTGTTGTTTTGACAAGAGCCACAGCTGGGCAATAGTAGCTCTTATTACCTCTCTAAAACTCCCCAAAAAATACGTATTAGAGAATAAAACAAAACTCTATCCGTGCTAATATCTTAAGCTTATAGTACAGAGTGGTCGAATCTCCTACAGCGCCTGAACGCAGCAGATTACTCGCCAACGCCCGTCCACAGAAACGAGACAAACTCCAAGAAAGCTCCACCAACACCCACCTTGTTCAGGTGGGGGTTTCTAATGACATCGTAGCCCTTCTTCTTGGTGTAAACAAGCGTCTTCTCGTTGTCTTTGGACTTGTGCATCTCCGTGTCCACTGACTCGCGCCTGGCCAGCCCGTGTGCCATGTCGTTGTCTCTTTAAATAGAGCCGCTGTGAAGTCAACAAGTGGACGCGCAGGTCTGGTTCTGGTCTCACGTCCGTCCCAGCGGGGGGTTTAAGAAGATTCTCCTTATCAGCAGAGCTGTTTCACTGTAACTCACTAAAGGTCAAGATAGCAGCAGATTGTCTGCCTGTGTGGAGTGACACAACAGGAGCCTGTCACTAGAAATAAACGGTTACAAACCAGAACAAACTAGTTGTTTGTGTTATTCCAGTTTACTGGGATGATTACAGCATGAACATACACACCATTCTAACCAGTTACTGTTGTTGAAATCACATAAAATGTGGAATATTTCCTGTGTTTATTCAAATTTGTTTTCTTTAGTCCCTAAATTTAACAACTGAGGTAAAACACAGCGTCACCAGAAGTGGGGGAGATCAGTGATGATTGTCACAGGTGTCACTTTGATAAAATCTGAGTCAGAACTGCAGAATGTACGGAAGAGGATTAGGGCCACTGAAAAAAATGAAAAAATTTAACTCTTTTTAAATTTTATTTCAGTATAATATGAGGAAAAAAAGTCTGAATTCTCACTTTAATCTAAGAATCCTGACTTTTTTCTCACATTTCTGACTTTAATCTAAGAATTCTGACTTTAATCTTAGAATTCTGACTTTAATCTCTGAATTCTGACAGCTAACAAACATGTTAGCATCAAGCCATAGCCATGTCTGTTTTAGAGACTAAACTAGCTCTTGTTTTAATAACCTTCTGCTCTTCCATTAATGAAATAACATCCCTAAGGCATGTAAAAAGTCACCTAATTCCATAATTTTCCACCAATGTGGCACTGACCCTCTCAAAAAAACTCACAACTTTGTGAGTGAAGATAATTTGGTGTCAGTGAAGCTGAGTGCTCCCACTTCTCTTCCTTCATGGTGCCCATCTACATTAAGATCCAAAATTCTGAGATTAAAGTCAGAATTCTGAGAAAAATGTCAGAATTTTGATATTAAAGTAAGAATTTTGAGAGAAAAAAAATCAGAATTCTGAGATTAAAGTCAGAATTCTGACTTTCTTCCCCTATTAAACTGAAATAATATTTAAAAAATGAGTTAACCTTTTTTTAATTTTTATTTTTTTCAGTGGCCCTTATCCTCTTTCGTAAAAATGAAAGCAATTAAAGATAAAAAAAAAAATAAAAAATGATACAAGCACATAGTAAAGCAAATAAAACAGTTGGTCCAAAACCTTAAACTAGTTACACCTAAATTAATCGTTTAACTTCGATGGTCCAAGGCAGTTCTAAACAAATGGGTTTTTAACTTTGATTTAAAAGAAGTTAGGCTTTCAGAAAACTTCCAGTCTTGTGGGAGTTTTTTCCAGATCAGTGGTTCCTAGGAACTAAATGCTACTTCTCCATATTTGGTTCTAGTTCTAGGTGAACAGAGTAGGCTGGAACTAGAAGACCTGAGTGGTCTGGGAGGTTCAATTCAATTCATTTATACTTTATTAATCCCACAAGGGAAATTTGTCATATATTGAGGTGCATTCAGTGGTTTAAAGACTAACA